TATAAATTAGTAAATATATCTTTTAAATAAAAAATTGTATTTAAAGTTTGATTAGTTAGATGGAAAAAAGAAAAAAAAAAAGAACGAAAAAGAAGAGTGCATGCAAGGCTAAAATTGAATTTAATGAAGGATAGTAAAAAAATGGTAGGTTGAATTTAATTAATAAGGGGAGAATAGAACTAAAGTAAAATAAGAGATTTACCCAATAAAGAAAGTATTGACTCATACCAACAAGAAAGCATATTAAGAAAGACGTGTAAGAGTGACATGTGATATATTTTCCTTGAATTGTTTCTGTTTTAATATATATAGATTTGAACCTGATTCTTTGGGTCAAATGGCTTTGCTTATTCTTGTAAGATTTATATCCTCCTCTCTAAGGATAACGGTTCAAGCCTTCCCAATGACAAAATGTTCAAAATATATATATATATAGATTTAATAAAGGATGGTCAAAAATGGTAGGCTAAATTTAATTAATAAGGAGAGAATAAAACTAAAGTAAAATGATAAATTTACCGAATAAGAAAGTATTTAATTAATATATATAGATGTTTATATTTAATAATAAATTATGTAGTGAGAAAAATAAAGAGAGTTTTGATTATCATTTTTAATTTTATAGTAATTTATTTAATTAATATCAATTGATAAAAATTGAATATTTTAACTATTATATTATAAAATTCATTAGAGGAAGATTAATGGAGATGGTCCAAGCTAAATCATTTTTCTGGATTAAGAATAAGATTCATGGGTGTGTCTTTTCATTCCATGAATGGAAGATAAAACCAGTTGAATGTGCTCTATCAGTCAGAAAATATAAACAAATGCAGTAATTGTTCCATAAACAGCAAAAAGGAATGGGCACAGCTTAAAGTCTGGAGAGGAGCGTGGCTTTTATCCTCATTGTGAGACAAAAGTAAGTACAGTTGTAATATGCATGATGAAGTAGTTACCCTGAATATGTATAGGGCTTTTGGAGATGCTAATTGCTCTGCAGCTGGTGGCGGATGCTTGTATTTTTGTCATTCTATCATGCTAGCAGATGTTTATTATGTGTAATGGGCAGGAGTACCCTTGTGCTACAATTTTAATAAATTCATTTTGCTGATCAAAAAAAAAAAACTATTATATTATAAAAAAGTATTATAGACATTATAAAAAATTCTTGATATACTTATAATGTATTTTATTAAAGTATTTTTATTTATATAAGATTTAAAAT